CCCTCCCCTCCCTCTGCCCCCCTCCATATACCAGCCGACTCATCCCATCAAGTGCATCCACTCCACTGCATCGAGTGGAAGCAGACCAAGAGCACACTTGTACCTATCTTGGAGGTTGTCGAGGCGGCCCACCGGACCCTCAGCATGGGCTTCATCTCGTCTTTCACTGGCGCCTACCGAGACACACACAAGCATCACATGTCTGCCGAAGTCGACTTCAAGATGCCATTTTGAACTCTGAGCGCCCAGTAACATGCACCGCCGGAGAAGACATGTCTCGCAGTCGTCGGCTGTACTGGTCTTGTGTGAGCATAAACTAACGTCTACCTGTACACATTCATGCATCACAGCCACTTTCGCCTCCCTCGACAGGTGGCCAGAGGCGCCCGAGCACACTCGCAAACACGGATCGGATACATGAGGACGAGCATGCTAATATCTTCCCAGAGTTGTACCTTGTGAATAAGTGCTCATCTCTCTTGCTATACCGCATGCCAACAATCAGTAAACACTATATCTGCCCATCGGATCGCCGTCTAGGCACTTTCATTCCACCTCTACTCCCACAACTATCCACGCTTCGGAGCGAAGGCAGGGCAATTTATTTCCTTTTCAACAACCTCATCATTACAGTCGTCTCAATCGTCTGTGATCTGCGTATTTGCCGTCTTATGTTTACTCGAAATGTACGACTTCCTCCTCTTCAGTTTACAGTTATCTTTTGGTTAACAGTTATTTTTCCTTTCACGCAAAACGGAGTAAAATACACAGTTCTGCCTTCACTTGCATCGAAGCCTCCACTGTGGAGGACTGTCTTCTCTGACGGCAACCAGCCTCACGTGTTAGACGCATTCTGATACTGAAGACCTGGTCACCACGACGTTAATTTCACCTAACCTTGCCTCTCGTAATGCTTCTCGTCCCGGCTGGACTCGTACCGTATGCCAGTGGTACCGTCGATTTTGATGACGAATACATGCTGAGAGAAAGTTGGTTTTTGATATCATCGACACATCGGAAATAAGAGTTCCGGCCCCTCCAGTTCGCATGAAGGGATGCAGGATAGTTGGAATTTCCCATATTCAAATGAGTACGCCTCACGTCTCAGTCCGACTCATCATCACCCCCAGTGGGAATCGAAGCCGAGATTCCCCCCAGTTCTGGAAGTAAGGCTGTGTGATCTTACATAGTGTGGTAAGATCTACTCATGCATTTATGGGAAAAACTGCGCTATCTGTTCTTACAATCGCCTTAAACGACCCACGTAATCTAAATTTCCCTTAATTTGTCGAGGTAGATTGCTTTCGACCGATCTATTTTGGGATGGACATTAATTCCGCTAAAATGAAAATTGAATTTTGTATATACCCCTCTTTGAATAAACTTCTAGATTGGCTATTCCAGCCTTCGTTACTGAGGCAGAAGAGGACTCTGGCTTTTGTTGATACTGACTGAAACCGACGGAGAAAAAGTCTTTTAAAGTCATTAGCTTGAATTTATTTCGAAAACCAGCTTTACCTCCCAAGTGAAATTCATTGGCACGCAAATCCTTGTGGTAAAAACTCCACTACCAGCCCTCAACTCGTCTTAAGTGACTTAATATATGCGAAGCAAAGTTGGTCTTCGAGGAATCTATTGTTTCATAATTGTTAAGCTTACTTCCATTTGAAGTGAAAGTGTTGGGTGAAGAGATTGAAAAGTCGGTTCCACCAGAAGACGACTGCGGATTCCTCTTGACCAGCTGTCGATTGGCTTTACTGGAAGCTTCATGCTGATGCTGTTGCCGAGGTAATCTCCTTCAATTCCGGTGAAAAGGTGCTAAGCTTTCGTCCGTCACATGACGGACATCATCAGAGCGAGGTAACATCATCACAACAAAATTCAAGCTAAGAGTCAAGTTTTTTGACTTCTGACAAAGTGGTTACTGTCCAAGTGAATGGCTCTCACCATTTATTTCGCTTTATTCTGGTACATTATACATTTTGATCAGCGAAAAACATGTTTCCAATCGGGATCTAATCAAATAAAGGCATAAACTACTTTCAGACCTTTCGCAATCAGGCGTATCCAGTGAAAGGACCATTCGCACCAACCTTGCTCAAGCAGTTGTGATAGACCAAAACTTGCTTCTGGGCCACAAAACCTTCTTCCAGCCTGGTTTTTATGCGTTTCCACTTGTATCGAGTCCATATTCTATTTGTTTGGTTTCATGGTGGTCGGAGTTTCATTTTCGAGACTTACTCTTTTGGCTTTTTTTCTATAGTCAGCATACGTTTGGATATGAGAGACCAAAAGTAGTAAGTCTGATTTTGAATAATGGCAGGTACAACTTGACTTTGTATTTCCACGGAAAAGTGTGTCTGAAGCAATTGGTCCCAGCTAAAACCGAAGGAGGATTTCCTTGAAGTGAGGACTTTTGGATTGTGTGCAGACGTCCTCTGTTCACCGTGTTGCAAACCCGATCAACTTGTGCTAAGCCGTCGTCTGTCATGTGACAGACAACGTGAGTGTGAGAAACCTCATTTTGCGAAAAAGTGTTTCAATATCTTAAACCAAATCCAACACTTGTCACTCCTTTGAGGCGACTCTCCTTCGCTTTCTGCTGAAGCCGATTGGCGAATTCCTTCCAATAAACCTTTTCTTCCAAATGAACTTCTAGTTACACCAAATCAAAAAAGGCTTTTTATTCACAGATGACTAGGGTTGCTGTCTGTCCCAAATGTCCATTCATCCAGCCTCCAGTCAAGTTTGTCATGGGCCCCTCGGCGCTCTCATACACTGTTGCTGTGCTAGCTCTGGATGCTGTGGCATTCATTACCATCGTGACAAAGCCCTAAGCCTATACCTAGACAAGCTATGACGTCTTGTAATTGGAATAACCGTTGGGTTGGGACGCCTATTTAAAATTAGAAATTTCTGAGATTCCACTTAATCATCCACATCTAAATTCATGCTGCATTCTATGCCCACTTGCCTTTCTCCCACTGGCCCAGATATAGTTACAAGTGGAATATTACAGTCTACAATTGGTTATATTAAATACCCCATAAAATGAAATCGAATAGCACTGTGCGAAAAATATTTGGATTAAAGTTCATTTTTATGTTTCCCAACTCGAAGACTGAAAATATAATTATTCAATTTCAAATAAAAATAAAATGAATGGTCGTTTAACAGGCAATCGGAATAAGCAATAATACATGTCAAAATTGGGGTACCACTTACAAAATCTTACCACTTATTCATTACAAATTTGACAATTTAAGAATTTATAAACAACTATATCTTCATATTGTTTGTAATTACATAACTTCAAACAGCATAAGTGAAAATATTCTTGATGGATCTAAAGTTAATAGCTGCCTTTCGTTTTGCCCCGATAGCGAATTTGCCCATTGCTCATTAAATAGTGCAACGATTATTAACCGTAAAAAATTTACAACAGAGTATTGGCTAAGCACAAAATCGGTAGCATCAACCAGTCACATAATAGCACACGGTTAACCGCAACAAACAAAAAGTGAGGCTAGCTTTGCTTTTTGGGTGATGCCACTTTGTCATGTGACCCAACGATACCAGGATTGTGAGGGTCGACCGGCTGACTTGTTCGTCCATTAACCCGTTTGTTCGTGGTGCGAGACCTGCAAAAAGGTGCTGAGTAGTCGGTAAAGAAAGGCTGAGTCTGTAGTCCCGGCTGTATGAAAATGGTCTTTTAGAATGATTACCAACCTGCAAAAATCGGGCCTTCGCTCGGTGTATTTCAGCCATCCTATTACCCAGATTTGTACATCGCTTCTTTGTTTTTCTTTATCCGAAGGCTGGCAAGTAGTACTAATTTCCGGGATCAGGGCTTTTGAGGTTGGAGACCGTGAGGCCTTACCCAAAATGGTAGTAATGAAGAAGTTTCTAGAGGATGAATTGAATTAAGCCAGCTTTGGCCATGATTAGAAAAAAGTGATTCTAGGGCCCAATATTGCTTGCAATAGCTTCATACTTTAACAAATGCTTGCGGATGTATTCATTACGATTGCCCAATTTGAATGTGGATGAAAGACCATGTGGGCTAATATGTAGAAAGACTGGTTTTCAAGCATGGGTCATAATGTCCATTCTAAAGTGGCAGACTTCAGGTATTCGAAACCCGTTCGTTCAACACAATATTTCCAGGTTGGGAGGTCGAATCGCATATTTCTATGATTTGCATCCCATATTCAGCATCGCATTTACTCCAAAAGTGTTAAGAAGGACATGCCACATTTTGAAGGTCCCTACCATAATTCGGTGTCACCAGACCTCGACTCATGCCAACATACTGCTGGACCGGAGACTACTAATTAGACCGAGGTCTTGTTTTGAAGGATTTTTCCACCAAGTTGTAAACACCATTCTGACATAACATAATCAGGTCTCCGTGACTATATTCTTTTAGATACGAAGAACAAGTCGGTTTCGATGAATCTCCTGAAATAACATTGTTGTAGGGACTTCCCTTTCGTATCAAAATGCATGAAGAGGAGAATTGTTGGTCGGTCTCATCAGAAGAGGACGGCTGGATCCTGTCGTACTGCAGCCGTTTGGCTTTTATACGACGTAGTCCACGAGACCTCCTCCTTCGTTTCGGGTAAAAATGGGCTGAGCTTTCGTCCATTATTTGATGGACATTATCAGAACTGGGTGTCATTGCTTAAACGAGGGAGGAAATCTCGTGGACTGCGTCAACCTGAACGTCGTCTAAAAGCCAAACAGCTGCAGTACAACGTGATTCATCCATCCTCTTCTGGTGAGATTGACCTACGAATCTCTTCTTCCTGCACTTTCATACGAAATGAAAGTCCCCCCAACAATTTATTCTTTTACTCTAAGCTAATGTAAGATATTATACAAAACAAATTTTGCTCCCATTTTTCTTGTATGTTAAAATTCTGAATAAATTTCAAGAATAAATTAAATTAAAGAGTATATGGTATCACTTGTGTTTTGTCATCTCATAAAGCATTATTCCAAATAAAAAATATGATACACCCAAAGTATGCATAGATTAGATTAATCCAAATTTATATATATATATATATATATACTACTGCAGTCTTCGCGTATGCCGAATTAACTGTCCATTTCGTAAAAAATATATTTTTGAAGTATTTTTGTGGCAGAAATTTCGGAGAAATGTCAGTTTATCAGTTTACTGCTTTAGATTATGCCCTTTAGACCGAGGACCAAGAGAAGCAGCTGCC